GAGAGAGAGAGAGAGAGAGAGAGAAATAAAGATAGAGAATGAGAATGGGTGATAAGGGTGATTGAGAGAGAGGGAGATGGAAACTAAATGTGGAATGGATAACTAAAGTTTGAAATTTTTTGTTTTCGACAATGTCGAGACTGATGACGTCGTATACGTCGAAGGGAACGTTTTATCTTTGATATCAGAAGAAGAAGAAAAATGGAAGATCATATGGGTGGATGAGAAAAAAAAATGGCTATATGCGATATACGTAATGCGAACATATTTATAAAAAAAAAAGTACAGAAAATCTTCGATTCTCTGTAAGAAGAAAATGATGAGAGATAAAAAGAATGTAGCTTGACTTGCTGGTAACAAACAAAAAAAATATAAAAAATACATTAATACAAAAAGAAAAGAAAAAAAAAATAAAAATTTATATAAGATTAGGTTTTTTTTTTATATAAATAAGTATGTATATGTATTTTCTTGTGTTATTTGTTCTATTCCTTTTTTTTTTATTATCTTCTTTTTCTTTCCCCCCGCTCCGGATTTTTCTGTATTTTTTAATTTTTTTTTCCCTCCTTTTACTATTTTCCTATTATGTTTTTATTTGTATTCTCCTCTCTTTTTCTTATATAAATAATAATTCTCAATTTTTGTTAAAGTAATTATTTACTCGAAGAAACATTTTGGATCATACATATGGCTATATAGATATATTATACACCACACACACACATACATACACACATTAATTACCAGCATAACTATCTAGTCATTGTAGAATTGTGCAAGCAGTATGTTCGTCATTAAATATCACATGGAATGGAATAAACGTGTATTTATATATTATTACGTACACGTTGTTTACAAAGATCGGGTTAGAATAACAGCTAACACAGACATTTCTAAGACAGAAAACAAAAAATATATTTAAAAAAAAAAAAAAAAGATAAAAAGAAAAAATCGCCTTCGAAAAGTGCTACACCCATTTGATCAATTTTTTATATCTCTGTGTGACTAGTGCACATTTTTTTCCTTTGTACGCAATTTTTTCACATGTTTTTATTACTAACTATTGTAATGGCATTTGGCAGTATCGCACAAATATAATATGGAATGAAAACAAATTATTGCATTGGAATTTTTATCTTCATTTCTCTTTTACTGTGAAACCACCACAATGCGTTGAACTATTTTTTTTTCTTCGAGAAAAGAGAAAAGAAATAATTAATTGAGAAATATAAATTTTAAATTCGTCGAAATTATTTCTATGAATATAGTTTTATTTCATACAGAAATATGAATATTATATTTTTGTACTATATATTATTCGAACGGTATAGAAAAGAAAAGATTTCTAAATTAATAGGAAAAAGAGATTAAATTATTATGTGGAAGTAAAAAGATTATTCATTATGTCGATACACTCGTACGCTTTCGAAGCTGGTACTTCAACGCATGCCGAAATAAATAAATAAATCAGACGATATCTGGAAATATTTGTCGAAGGTACGGTTTGACAACTATCTTGATCGTTTGACTCGCCGAATTCTATACACTGATTGGTAAAAAGTTCTAAATTATTTAAAAACTCTCTCATTTGAGTTTCTGATATTGTAGTAGACGTGTTGTTTTTATCATCGTTGTTGCTATCATCGCTATTATTTATACAAACGAAAAGAGTCGTAAATGATAACGAATAGGATTGAGAACAACGACGTTTTATATTTTCGTCCAGCGAACGAATATTTTCAATAACGGATTTATAAACATCCGAGATATCATTTGGATTACTAAATTGATCTGAGAACAAATTATTTTGTAAATATTTAACACAATTGTTCAATATGAAGGTAAACAAATGTTTGGGTAATAATGAAGGATATTCCAAACTGAAAGAACAAGTTTCCATTGTCAAACGTAAGAAATTGTTGTAAGATTGGCAAATAGATAAATCAAAACTGAACAATTTTTTGTATGAATCAGCTAATACTAAATATTCTGAACTAGTAGAACGTAGGATCATATGACGTATGGAATCTTCTTCGAGGAGATCAAAACTCGACAAGAATGTTTTTAATTCGTTTGATATAGTTTGGTCATTTCCAACCATATTTATAACAAAGTAACAACGTCTCTCGTAATCACGCATTTTATCTAATAAATTAAAATTATTTCTCGATGGTGGCCAAAGCGATGCGAAATATACTTTTTCTATCGGCTCTAAAATGCATTCTAAATTTTCTACGATAGATCTTTTTATTGAATTATCCAAATGATCTGTATGATATACCAAAATATGATAGATTAGAAAATTTAATTCTTTGATCACGTCGTTAATCAAATAACTTGATACATCTGTTCGTTTTCTTGTCGACGACATCGTTCGTGCAAGAGGTAGAAATAATTTACCTGCATTTATTTTTATTATCGATCCGTAAACAATATGGTCTAACATTTTCGTAGTGCAATTAAGAATGCAAAGTGTGTTACGTAACGACCTTCTGTTTTCATTTAAGTAACACACCAGGATATTGTTTATTATTTCGTTCACTGTCAATAGCTTATTAAAAACAAAGAAAAATAATAGATCTCTGAATTTTTTTATATTCCATTCAACGTCCTCTATACATATCGTTTTTAATGTACTACTCAAAAAAGTATCATTGGTGTCTTTTCGTATGCTCATTATTGGTGATAAAAGTAACAAGTCCTCTTCTGTAATCATTACATTATCATATTCAGGATAACCAATAGCTATTTTTAAAAGGATTCCTAATACGTTACTTGGATTTTTTAAAACGGATATTAGAATTATTTTCAAATTTGTTAACGATTTCATATGCGTATTTCTTACGATAAACTCTTTAAACATTTCTTCCTTGTAAAAAGATTCCAAACAATTTTTCCCATCGTGTTTAGTTATATATTCTACTAGAATAGAATAAATGGATTGTATATTTTGGTATATCAATATTTCCGTAACAAATGCGTAAACACGTTGTATATATTCTTCATTACTTGTTTGTTCAAGTAAAAAGGTAAGATACTCAAGCAAATTTAAACAATCATATGTGTCCAACAATGATTTCGTCCACATCTTTTTGGGGTCTATACAATTCATTGTAGTTTCATCCCATTCTTTGTATCGACTGATCAATTCCTTGACGCATTCTTTTTTACCTTGAATCGTACCATAACGCAATTCTTCCAAAGTAAAGATAGAATTAATCTCTTCTGATATTGGCTTAGAGGATAATTGTTGCAAGCATTCTATCAAATGCTCGTTGTCTGCTAGATCTTTATTACTTTTACAAAATTCAACTAAGTAGTAACATTCATTTCCAATCGTTTTCTGTAATGTTATAGTTGGATTATCTTTATCATCTAATTCTGCCCATCCTAGATATATGTTGCAATCGATTTCTTTGATTTTCTTTAAAAGTAAATTCATTAATTCTTGACGTAACGTTGCCATAGTTTCCGTAATAAGCGAATCCTCGCATTTCACTATAGGTTCATTTCCAAAAGTAATTTTATATATTTTCTCAGTATCCTCGGATATCTTCAAATCATTACCAATATTTTTTATACAATCTTTGACTACATTAATAATTCTTATAAATAACAAGCCGTACCTTTCGTATTTCTTTAAATCGGAAACTTTCTCCATACGAATAATTTTTTCGTCGCTCAGTAATAATAATAATTCTTGAAAATGGGCAGTCATACTTTTCATATTCTCTTCTATATGCAACGACTGACTACCATTCTTTCCGATCAAAATCAATTTCTTATAAATATTCATTATTAATTGAAATATAACATTCACGGCTCGTTCATATTCAAGCTCTTCGATGGACCTTCTAACAACGTCGATTATTTCAATACACAACTCTAATGGTAAATGAATAATAGATTCCAATAAAATATCCTCATACTTCAATTTCCACAGAATTTGTATAAACAAATACGGCGACAAAGTGTGGCGCATATCGATTAAATGCCCATGTGTCAAATCCTCAGCTAAACGTTTTTGTACTGTAAAATTAGTATTTAATATTAAGTACTTGTATACGTTTATGCATTTTGGATTTAACACTAATTTGGTGTCTTCAGTTACGAGATTAAAAGCAAGAATAATTTCTGATAATGATTTACTGAAGTTATTGATCTTTATTGTATTTTCTATGGTTGTACGAGCTGTAAGAAATTTTAATTCCCCATCCTTATGATTCTCTTTCATAAGATACGTATGAATTTTCTTTTGTAAATCATCCATATTATTTGTCTTGTTAAGGTAACCGTTATAAAGCAAACTAAAACATACGAAAATTAAATTAAATTAAATGATATACATATATACATTGTTATGATATATTTGTCTTTTAATTGTTATCATCATATCAGAAAAAAGAAACAATGCATACACTTGCGTCACTTCTGTTTACCACTAAAGTTGATTATATTGATAATGCCAATCTCTTTAGGTTATGTAACAATAATTTATCACGTTTTAATTCATATTGCTATTAACACATAGTAGATTTAATTCGACGAAATTATTTGACATTTATTCATAAAATATGGTTCGTGCATGGTACATGGATGACAGTGATGCTGACCAAAGATTAGAACACCGAAAGGAATCTTCTGATCTTGTATCAATGGCTAACTTGTATGCAGTAACTGGTGTAGAATATTTTAAGGTTACGTTGCATATAACATACCTTCTTATAGACAAATATTTTATAATATTGATTTTTGTTTCTTATATTTTATTATATTTAATATTCTATATTATACTATTATTATTATCATTATTATTATTATTACTATTATTATTACTATTATTATTATTATTATTATTGTCACATAATATATATATGTATATATGTATGCACGTATGTACGATATATAAATTATATTGTAGGTGGATCACAAAAATCACTTAAATGATTCTACATTGAACGAATTGAAAGAAAAACGTGGATATACTTATGAAGATGAAATAACATGCTCGAAAGAATGTCTCGCTAATTACGAAGAGAAGGTAAAATTAAACATAGCTCTTCTATTCTTTAACGTAAGATTCTTTATTTAATGATTAAAATATTAGTTGAAGAATTTCTTTGCTGAACATCTTCATACGGAAGAAGAAATACGTTTAGTTTTGGATGGATCAGGTTATTTCGATGTAAGAGATAAAGATGATCAATGGATTCGTATTGAAGTTGAAGCAGGAGATTTGATTATTATTCCCAGTGGTATATATCACAGATTTACTTTGGATACTAAAGTAAGTTCATTTATTTCTATTTTTAAAGATAAACATAATTAATCATTGTTTTATCTGATGTATAATTTTTGTTTTTAAGGATTATATACAAGCTAAAAGATATTTTATTGGAAAACCTGTATGGACACCTTATAATAGACCAGCTGATAATATGAATTGTCGTCAACAATATCTTGAACAATTAAAAAGTGGCTTTAAGTCCAATTAAAAGATTCATACTCTATTATGCAAGTTATACATGCATTTCAAGGAAAAGATTTACTAATTTTTATTTTTATATGCATATATATATATATTATCTAGAAGTATGAATCACATAATAAACACCTTCAACTATTAGTGATTACCGTTATATTATTTCTATATTTCATTTTATTTTGGATTATATACATACATACATACATATCAAATATATACACGAAATACTGATTAAACTTTTACAAAAGATTTCAAATAAAGGTCCACATTCGAAAAATAAATATTTAATAATTTTTATATCAATAGATTCAATCTTTTAACAATTTCAATACTTCTTTCATCACCTTTTCTGATAAAAAAAAGGAATATAATAATTTATCATTTCATTTACACTCGAGATGAATTTATCAAACATCTTATCGATATAAAACGTGAAGGGAACTGTTCTTTCTAATGATTGATACTTAGTTTTATTCTTCCAAAAAATAAAAAATATATCCTGTACGTTATTTTTCACGTCGTTAGATATATTTTTGTCAAAAAATATAATAACGAGGTATACGATAACGAAAAACAAAATTCTAATAGATAAATACTACACTTGTATCAATTCGATGTCTTTTCTCCATGCAATTATTTTTATATACTTTTTTACTCGTTAGAAAAATGTAGAATATTTGATTAGAACAACCTTGTTTTTATAGTCTAAAGAATCACGCTTCTTATCTTAATAATAATACAAACTAATTTGGTTTTAATTAAGTCACGATAGTCATTGTATTAAAAGTCAGCATTGACCGAAAAATTTGATTCAAACTTATCTTGCATAACTCCAAACTTTTGATATTCTCCGACCTTTTTCTCAAAAAAGTTCGTTTTACCTTCCAACGAAATTTGTTCCATAAAGTCAAATGGATTCTTGGACATGTAAATCTAAAAAAAATTTCATTAATTATATTTTTCTATTATAATATGAAAAAAAAGAAATATTTTATCAAATTATTGTATACCTTTGGACATCCAAGTTCGCTGAGCAATCTGTCTGCAACAAATTCAATATATTCACACATAAGCTTACAGTTCATGCCGATCATTTCGACTGGTAATGCCTCTGTTAAGAATTCCTGTTCAATTTCCACCGCATCTTTAATAATGGAAGTAACCCGTTTGATGGAAGGCTTTTGTATAATGTGTTTAAACATCAGGCATGCAAAGTCACAATGTAATCCCTGCACAAGAAAAAAAATCAATATTACAAAATATATTTTTTCATAGACGACGCGTTGTATAGTAAAAATAAGATATATATATTTTAAAATATACCAACCTCGTCTCTAGAAATTAATTCATTACTGAAGGTAAGACCAGGCATTAATCCTCTCTTTTTTAACCAGAAAATGGCAGCGAAACTTCCGCTGAAAAATATTCCCTCGACGGCGGCGAATGCGACTACGCGTTCAGGAAATGTTGCGCTTTCGTGATTGATCCAATTCAATGCCCAATTAGCTTTTTTGGCAACGCAAGGAAGAGTTTCGATGGCATTAAATAAGAATTCTCTGCGAAAAAAAAGTTACGTTTTATTTTTTTCTTTTTTCTTTTTTACATAAGAAATAAAAATATATTATATTATTATAAGATAGAAATTTATTTCAAATACCTTTCTTTAGGATCCAGAATATAAGTATCGATTAATAAAGAATACATTTCAGAATGAACATTTTCCATTGCTACTTGAAATCCATAGAAACAACGTGCCTCTGTAATTTGAACTTCTTGACTGAAACGTTCTACAAGATTTTCATTGACGATTCCATCGGAAGCAGCGAAGAAAGCCAAAACGTGAGTTATGAAATGCCTTTCGTTCTTATTTAGATTATTCCAGTCAGTCATGTCCTAAAGAAAAAAAAAAACAAAATGAAAAAATAATAATTGAAATTCGTTCAAAAGAGTGTTATTGATTTAGCAAAGAAAAATATAAATAAGACAAGGATAAATCAAAATAACTACATACTCTAGTGAGATCGACTTCTTCTACAGTCCAAAACGATGCTTCTGCCTTTTTATACATTTCCCAAATGTCATTCCATTGTATTGGAAATATTACAAATCTGCGTGGATTTTCTTTCAACAATGGTTCTAATTCAGGATTAAATTTGTTATCCTCCAGCTGAATCTTTCGTACTGCCTTCGTTTCATTAGTCTAAATGTAAAATAATTTTTATTATATACATATATCAAATATACATAGAATATATATATATAGATTTCTATTAAAATAAATGATTAAAGATGAATTTTCTTACAGCGGTTCCATTGTTAAGATTATTCTCTCGCAAACCTGGTGTGGTAGTGCATAGCTTCTTGGGAGATATCTGAAATTATGTTAATAACAAGTTAGATATTGAAAATGACTAATATATTATTTTCAAAATTTTCATTAATAATAAGTTACATATTAATGGTCAAATAATATCATAGAAAATTATTAATTTTACATTTTGAGATCATTACTTTTATAAATGACATCATGTCAAACCATTGCATTTAATTAAAAACAATCTTATCGCTCAATGGTATGAAAAAAATACACGAGTATACTTCTTTTGTGGATTCGCAATGGTGATATTGAAAGGTTAATATACAGTTCACATTAAAAGCAATGCACTTTTTAATAATACTTTTCAATTTTCATAGTTTCCAATCAAAATCCTTATATATAACGAAAAAATTAAAGACATTTTATAAATTTATAAACGTATACACTTTAAACACATTTTTATTAATAACACAATATCTTATATATTACTTAAACATAACCTGCAATGTAATGCAACGATACAAAATTCACTGAATAAATACATTTTTATATCGTCAATTTTAAACTAACATTTTATCGTCCACCTTTAGACGTTTGATTTGAGATAATATAAATATTTTCTAAATAATATTCGTCAAGTTTTATCAGTTGATCTATTAATAAGCACTAAATTCCAGTATTTTGTGTTCTAAGTTTTTAAAGAATAGTTATCTAGTTTAAATATTTTTAAACAATGTATGTTAATATTAGAATTTGTATTATACTTATACAGTCGATTAACTATAATAACAAATATACCTATTACAGGTATACAGACACGTATACATGTATCTGTATATATATATATCATCTATGACTAATAAATTATCTGTAAATAAAGAATATAATCATTAAGTGTCTTATTTATCATATGTTTAGTTTTATATTCCTTTTTAAATAATGTAGATACAAATACTTATATAAAAATAATAGTAACAAAATAACAAATTTATAATAAAAAAATGTTGGAAAATGTATCTTTTGTACTAATGCAATTTCATTGAATTTTGTAAGGTTACCAAATATATGATCTCTTTTTATCAACAATACTAGTTTACAAAATGTTAACAATAAATAAATGAAATACTTAAAATAACATGTAACATTTTAATGTCTAATTAAAACATAATACGAATATTTATTTTGATCTAAAAAGTATACGCGTAAGAAATATTTTAATATCGTTTACAAACTTACTTTTTCCTTCATAGAAATATCTTCCGCGCATTTGCGAATATTTTCTTTGGTTGATAATTGAAGAGGCATCTTCCAAAAATCGTTTTTTATTTTTTTTAAGGAAACTTTCTTACAAGGATTTGCTTGAAAGACTGCATAACACAGCTGAACACCGCCGTATATAATTGTCCCTCATGTAATGTTAAAATGATGTTTCATAGAATATGATTGGTCGAATTCTTCTTATTTTAGCGTCCAGATTATGACTACCAATCAGAATACTACGATTTCCCGCCAAATTTTAGCCAACTTGTTAATAAATAATAATAAGTATATTATTATGGATTTTTTAATGCTATTATATCGCAAATAATAAAAAAGAATTTTTCATAGTATTTGGCTCGTACAAATGTTAAGAATTATTTATTAATTTTTTACATAATAATGATCATTTTCCCGCTCTCCTGTTGAGTTTGCGCAGACGTTTGTAGCGAAGTTAGATGCAATTCTCGATTTGTCTCGAATTTATCTCGAATTTGCAATTTTAACAAGTGATCGTAGCACAGGATGTATGGTCTTTGCTTAAGAATCTGTAATCTCAAGATTAATTTCAAGTAATGAAAATTTTGTTTTAAATCAATTATAAATTTTTGAATATATATATATATATACAAAATATAATAATATTATATAATGTAATAAATGTATTTTTAAAATACTACTCGTAATCAATAAAATAATTTAAAATATTGTTAGTACAGAATTTATCCGTCAAAGAGCGCAATTTAAGGTGACACTGCAACCTAACGACGGCGAAATTTCTTATAGAAATGTTCGATTGCTCTTCTACATTACGTATAGTTTCTTCGATAACGTTTTCACATATTTGAGAGCGTTAGCTTATTTGTTTATACGTTTTGTGTATAGCGTTAGTTGGATAATCGTTGATCTTGGGCATAGATTGAATTAACAATTATTTATGGTCATTTGTAATTTAACTTAACGTGACTACAAATATTTATTCATAATGTTTTTCACAAATTAACCGAATTGGTGATTATAATGAGAATACTATGCAGTAAATATTAAAAGGAAATGTTAAGTTTTGGATATAGTTGTTGTTATACTTTTCAGAAAGTGTAGGAAGAAGTTCTGAATAATTGTTATAGACACAATGGCTTTGCACAATGTACCTCCAAAAAGAAAAGAAATTTATAAATATGAAGCACCGTGGTCTTTGTATAGTATGAACTGGTCTGTAAGACCAGACAAACGTTTTCGTTTGGCACTTGGTAGTTTCGTAGAGGAGTATAATAACAAGGTACAAATTGTTTCACTTGACGAAGAGACTTCTGAATTTATACCCAAAAGTACATTTGACCATCCATACCCAACGACGAAGATTATGTGGATACCGGATAGTAAAGGTAAACTTTATTCATTTACATCTATTATATATATTTCTATATTCAACAGGCTACATAAATAATATTTGTTTTCTTTTCAGGACTGTTTCCTGACTTATTAGCAACTTCGGGAGATTATTTGAGAGTATGGAGAGCAGTAGAACCAGAGACTCGTTTAGAATGTGTTTTAAATAATAATAAAAATTCAGACTTTTGTGCACCATTGACTTCGTTCGATTGGAACGAAGTTGATCCAAATTTAATAGGAACTTCTAGTATAGACACAACTTGTACAATTTGGGGATTAGAAACTGGGCAAGTTTTAGGTAGAGTTAACGTTGTTACTGGACACGTGAAGACGCAGTTAATAGCTCATGATAAAGAAGTATACGATATAGCGTTCAGTCGTGCCGGTGGAGGACGAGATATGTTTGCTTCAGTTGGTGCTGATGGATCAGTTAGAATGTTTGATTTAAGACATTTAGAACACTCGACTATTATTTACGAAGATCCACAACATACGCCGTTACTTAGACTCGCGTGGAATAAACAAGATCCTAATTATCTTGCTACTATTGCTATGGATGCGTGCGAAGTTATAATCTTGGATGTTCGTGTCCCGTGCACACCGGTTGCAAGATTAAACAATCACAGGTATTTATATTATATATATTTATAAAATAAATATATATATATATATATATATATATACTAGTTCTATGTCATATATATATATCATACAATATTTAACTTACAGAGCAAGTGTTAACGGCATCGCTTGGGCACCACATTCTTCTTGCCATATTTGTACCGCAGCAGATGATCATCAAGCGTTAATTTGGGATATACAACAAATGCCAAGAGCCATAGAGGATCCTATTCTTGCATATACAGCAGCTGAAGGAGAAGTTAATCAAATTCAATGGGGTGCTACACAACCCGATTGGATTGCTATATGTTATAACAAGGCAGCAGAAATTCTTAGAGTATAAAACTATAATTTGAAGATTTTGTCTATTTGTTCAATTTTTCAAATTATCGATTATTAATTTGAATTTATCTTTCATCTTATACCTTGCTGAACTATGGATAAATCTTCCAATTATTTACGATTCTTAGTCATACATATATATATATAATATATATATATATATAATATATATATATATATGCATGGACATACATTACGTATAGAAAAATCAACATGTATGTGCATACGCGCGTAATGATATATATATACACATACGTAACTATATCGTACAAAAATTGTATACATAGCATATTGTAAATATGTAGTGTAAGCATTTTTTTTTTTTACATTTATGTTAAACTTTCTAAAGAATCTTCAAAATAATTGACTGGACATTATCGATAATGTTTAGTCGTAATATAAATTTGAACATTTTTTAATTGTGCAATTAAGATGTATTTAGTTGTACAATGCTGTATCTTGTTATTTATTGTATATATGTCTATATAGTCAGATGTGTACTTATCGATATTAATTAGAATTCGATGATAGGAAAAAATATTTACCAATAAGAATCTTTTTTCTGTTCTTCCACAGAGTAACGTTCTCATATATTGTCATGGAAAAAAATTTGATTGCTGTTTCTTCGTAATATGTTTGTAGTATAGTATTGCATATTACCATTTACATTATTTAACGCATTTAAAAAAAAAACAGAACTAAATATTTTTAGTAATTGAGAAAAATTTTATCTATTGGACTAATTCTTAATATCATATTAATATATAATATATATGTAGATAAATATATTCATTATGAAAATTTTGAAGATCGACAATATTTTAAACGTATCATTGACTATCGTCATTATATTTTCATTGCAAGAGAAACTTCCATCGATATTTTTATTATTTGTGATTATTTAAAAAAATTCTTTTTTATATACAAATGCGTAATATTAATTTTAGATATAAGAATTTTGATACTCTAGCACGTAAACTTCAATATATATATCCATTAAATCCTAGTTGTCATTAGAAAAAAATCATGTCTCTAAATGCAAAGTAAAATGGCAATGTATCATCAATTTTACATTGCGTTTCAAAATAGCGTGACACTATTTGACAAGAAATCTGAACAGTGGGTCTGCGCTGCTTGAGACTCAAACGGTTAAATATACAATAATTCGAATTTTAATCTTAAACACCGATAATCTTTTTTAAATGCATACTATCGTTGATATCATTTATATTAATACTAGAAACGTTAATCGACTCTCATTGATTAAACATTTCGCGTAAGACAAATATTTGTTTTATCGATCACACATTGCAAGTAGATTTGCATTGATTTTATAAAATGAATTTTTTATTAGATAGAAAAATTGTATATTTTTTAAAAGAAAAGTGTGATCACGTATGTATATGTAAGCGATAATATAATTAGAATAATAATAATAATAATAATAATAATAATAATAATAATAATAATAATAATAATAATAATAA